CAGGCACCGTCACACGGGACCGCCTCCTGAGGTCAGGCACCGTCACATGGGACCGCCTCCTGAGGTCAGGCACCGTTACACCCAACCACCTCCCTGAGGGCGTCAGCCAGGGAGGCCCAAGACTAGAGATGCTGTCCCAGATCCCCCTTCTAACTGAGTTGGTGGCTAGGCAGGCGGAGGGGTAGAAGGTGGGAAGGGGCGGTGAGGGAGGTGAGGGCGTACCGTGAGGGCCAGGCCGATGGTGGTCAGGCTAGAGGTGACCTGCTGGTGTGTCCTCAGGAAGCTCCAGATGCCCTGCAGGCAGTCCTGTGAGAGGGCAGCAGGCATGGCACCCACCCTGACCAGCCCTCTCTGCCTGGGCAAGTGGACTCTTTGGGGCACGGAGCTGCAGCACCTACCCAGGCCAATGCCAGGGCAGCAGGGAGGTGGGGTGCAGCCCATTCCCAGTGAGTTCTAGGGAAAGGCAGCACAAACAGGTGAAGCCCAGTGGGACAGGGCTGGCCTCTGTGGGCACCCGGGCACTGCCCTGGGCCCAGCAGGTGCTGTCTCCCAGCTGTCCTGAGCATCCATGTTGGGCCACACGTTGGCTCCCCTGGGCTGGGCTGCTTCTGACTCACTCTGGGTTCCCAGCGTCCAGCGCCTTGGTGACCAGAGAGGGCACTGGCTGACAGGGAGGGCAGGAAGCCAGCAGGTAGAGGGATATGGGGGCTTCTTGCACTGTCCCAGGATCCTGGTTCCATCCTTGGTTTCCCGTGCCACCCCAGGGCATGGCATCCAGAGGCATCTTTCCAGAAAAGGGAGGTGGCAGGCGTGTCTCTGAGTCCTGGAGACGGTGACAACTGGGGCGGGCTTCGGAGGCTTCCACAGGGTCTCAGGGCTCAGCCTCCTGCCCCTGCAGGCAGCTCTGCCTCCCTCCTGCCCATGGCTGCCCATCTGGATGGCTCTGTGCCCACTGCCTGTGCTGGCTCTTCTGGATCCCCAGGAGGCTTCAAAGTCGGGCCCATGGTTCCTGCCATCCCGGAGTGCTCAAGGCAGTCCCTGTTTTGCAGTCAGGGGCCCTAGGGCCTCTCCTTGGGTGGCACAGGGTTCCCAACTGTCAGTCCTGCCCTTGCTGCTGCTGGTGCCTCTCCAGGGCCATCCCCAGCACTGTGGCTCCACCCCTCGCTAAGCCTCCAGCCATTTGCTCTCCCCTCTGTTTCTTGGAGGGTCGCCAGGCGCCTCCCACCATGAGATAGGGTGGGTCTGTTTCCAGGACAGTAGGGGAGGGAAGCAGGGAGGGGGAGGGCGGGCTGGGGGAGGGTTGCTGGGCACCAGGAGAGGGAGGGGAGGGCCCATCTCTCCCAGGGCCCTGGGAAGGAAGGGCTTCCTGGCCTTGGCCTGCTCTGGCTCTGTTGCTGCTGAAACTTTGGCCACACCCTGGCCTACGCTGACCCTCCAGCCTCGCTTCTCCTCCTCCGAGTGCCCTTCCACTCCTCCTGATGCCCCCTAGGATCCTTGCACCCTTCCCCCTAGACAGAGCAGACCAGGTCTGCCCTGCGGTCCCTTGGCACAGAGCCCTCACGGGTGCACTCCAAGAGGCTTCTGTGGCTGCAGCTGGCCTTGGGAAGCCCCCCAGCTGAAACCGGCTTGAAGGAGTGAACGGCGCACGGGGCCTACACCCAGCTGGGCGGAGGGTCCTGTGTCTATGCCTCCAGTCCAGCCTGGCCACATGACCGGCTTCATGCCCCATGATCCCTCACTAGCCTCCAATCATACCAGAACCTTCCCCGAGCCCCTCGGTGGGCAGGTCCCAAGGGTCTGGGGAGGCCAAGGGCTGGGGTGAGAGGATGTCCCTGGGTCTCGGGGTTGGGCCCCAGGGTGTCCAGCCCCCAAGGGTCTTGCCTGGCCAGCATCCAGGTCCCCCCCTCACCTCTCTTGCTGCCTGTTCTCCCTGACACAGGTCAGCCTCTGTGTTCCCGAGACGGCTGAAAGGAGATCTCTTCCCACAGCACAGAAACTACAAGAACAGATGGGAGGGAGTGGTGTTGTGTTCCTGAGGCCCCAGGAGGCGGACAGCACATATGGGGAAACTGAGGCATCTCAAGGACAAATGACCCAGGTGGGGTCCCCTGCAGCCCAGGGCTGGGGTATTGCAGCTGCTTCTGCTGAGGTGTCCAGCCACTGCACAGCCAGGCCTGGTGAGTGAGGGAGTGCTCTCAAGCTGCAGTGCCTGCCCGCTGGGGGCGGAACACCTGCTGGAGCCAGGCCGGCTTCCCAGCCCTGCTCACAAGGGATCGTGTGTGCTTTCTGTTGTTGTTTTGTTTTGATGTGGAGTCTCGCTCTGTCGTCCAGGCTGGAGTGCAGTGGGGTGACCTCGGCTCACTGCAATCTCCTCCTCCTGGGTTCAAGCGATTCTCCTGCCTCAGCCTCCTGAGTAGCTGGGATTACAGGCATGTACCACCATGATAATTTTTTTGTATTTTTAGTAGAGAGGGGGTTTCACCATGTTGGTCAGGCTGGTCTCGAACACCTGACGTTGTGATCCACCTGCCTCGGCCTCCGAAAGTGCTGGGATTACAGGCGTGAGCCACCGCGCCTGGCCTTTCTTGTTCTGTTTTGTTTTGTTTTTTAAGTAGAGACAAGGTCTCCCTGTGTTGCTCACACTGGTCTTGAACTCCTGGGCTCAAGCAATTTGCCTGCCTCAGCCTCCTCCCAAAGTGCTGTCATTACAGGCGTGAGTCACTATGTTCAGTCCTGTATTTGCTTTAACACTCTTGAAATCCTTCAGTGTTTCCGAATAAGGGGCCCTGCCCTCTCATTTCACACTGGGTCTCCCGAATCTGGTAGGTGACCCTGTCCTGGGCAGACAGAGGATGGGAGTTTTTTGTCCCCAGCCCCCAGCTGTGGCCTGTGTCCTGGAATCCCCTGGTGCCTGGCCAGGCCGCTCGCTGGCCACCCTTTGCCTGTCCTCTGAACTGCAGTCCACACAGAGGCGGACTGCCCTGCCATCCAGCCGTCCCCATGCTCACCGTGTCCTGGATGGCCACCAGCTCCTGCCACCGGACCTGAGATGTGCCTTTCACTGCCTGCTCATACACTAGGTCATAGGTGTCCAGCATGGCATCCTCCACCTGCACCAAGAGATCACAGGGAGGTCCTGGCCCTGGTGGGAGACCCGGAGACAGAGCCCCTCCCCACGACATCCAGAAGGCTGCTGGGCCCTCGGTGCTGAGTGACGTCCCAGCACCGCCCCTCCTTGCCCAGGTGCATCTCCCCAAGAGGGAGCCCAGGTCCCTGGGCAGCCGGTCACTGTGCTTCCCAACTTCAGCAGTGGGGCTTCCACTCAACAGCCATCAGTGTGGCCCTCCTGCCCCCAGAGGTCCTGCAGGATAAAGCAGAGGCCTAGCTCTGTGTTCGCCCCGCTGTGGTCTTGCAAAGTCAGCTCAGGGAAGTGTCCACCCTGCTACTGTGGACCTGGAGGCAGGCAACGGGGCTGGGCCTGGTGGAGAGCCGTGGAGAGGCCCTGTGTCGGGACCTCAGCTCCCGAAAAGCTGGGGGAGTCTAGGTCTTTCCCCAGAATTACTCAGCTGCCTTCCAGAAGGCCGGGCAGGTGGGCGCTGGGTAAGGCTTTGGGCCAGAGACGCCTTGGGGACCTGGCGTCAGATCTGGGTGGACGAGGCCACCGTGGGGCAGGGAGTGGAAAAGGTGGAGGTGACAGGGCCTGGGTGGGTGCTGGCTGGACACTGCCTGTGCTCCACACTCCAACGCCACCTAGACCTTCTGTCTCCACCCTCCTAAGCAAGATACCCTCCCCTACCAAGTTACTCCGTCAAAGACGAACTGGAATCTCGACTCCTACAGGAAGGCTTCTGTGACTGCTCCAGGGGTCGCTAGTCTCATGGCACAGGGCGAGGCCCTCTTTGAGGTCCCTGCCCTGCAATGTCTCCTTCCTGCCTCAGAGGCCCTCAGTTGTCCCCCACATGCCATGCTGACAGCAGGGACACCCTGAGGGGGTGCTCAGCAGCTGCCCCAAAGGGCAGGAGTGGAATGTAAGCCCCAGGCCTGCTCTGGCCACTCATACCTGCCCTCCAGAAAGGAAGGGTGGCTGCCAGCCGTGCTTATCGCACTGGGGCCCGACCTCCGTGGCAGGCCCTGCCAGCAGCCAACTAGGCGGGCAGCAGGCAGTGGAGGGAGGCTCCTGGTCAGCTCTGCCCAAGCCAGGAGGCCCCAACAGGAGCCAGATGGACTTTTGAGGCCAAACTTGGCTCCTGACCCTAATTAATCCCCCCACCGATGGCTAATACAAGTCCGTGAGTCACCCTGACTCAGCCAGTCTCATCCTCCCCTCAGTGCCCCGGCAGGCCACGCCACTGTCGGCCTGGGCGGGGGCCTTGTTCAGCCTCAGCATCTGTGAGTGTGAAATGGGTGGAGTCTGGCCGGGCCATTGTGTCCTTGTGGGTGGAGGTCCTGGGAATGGAGGACTGGAGGCCTGGCCGAGCGGGCTTGGGGTCCACTGGGACCTCCCCTCCTGCTTCCTTCCCAACTCCAACGACTGTCCCCATTGTCAGGCGCCTGCTACGGCCCAGGGAGGACACAGGTGCCTCCGAGGCTCTGAGCAAGGTGTGGTGATTACCGCAGCATGGGTGGGAGTGACAACACCTGTTAGCAGCTGAGGGGCTGCTCTGCCTGGCTCTGCCATGTGGCCCTCCCCACCACCGAGGAGGGAATCCTCAGCGAGGTAGGCCTTCTGCCTCGAAGCCCACAGCCTGGCCCTGGAGGGCCCTGGAGGCCAGGCCGGCCACTCGCCACAGGGCTGGGGCTCCCAGGTGGTGCTTCACTGTCTGCCTCCATTCCACGGTCTGGGGGCTCTGTAGGGGCCTGGGGCCTGGATTTCTCAGGACACCTGGGGGCAGCTGCTCCCTGTCAGGTACCAATGCACTCAGCTCTGTCTTCTGGTGCCCAGGGCGGGGAGAGTGCTTCGGGACAAGGACCGGGAGTGGCAGGACCAGTGCAGAAGTCCTAGCTGCTGGGCCACCCGTCCCGCCGTGCGTTCCTCCAGCCCCTGCCCAGGCTGAGGCCTGAAGTTGGGGGTTTCCCACTGCAGCTTATCCCCATGACCAGATGGTCCCTGGTATCTGCCTGGCTCGATGACCCCATCCTGTGTCTGCTGAAAGTGCTCAGGAAGGTACAGCAGGCCCTGGGCGGCGGGTGGGAGGGATTTGCGGCAGGCCTGTGGACCCGCCACACAGGTCCAGGACTGGCTCTGGCCTGAGCCCGCTGGGCCGCTGGAGGATCCAGGAAGCGGGGTGGCTCCGGGGTGGGGACAGACCTGGACGATGAGGCTGCACCCCCCACTGCCGTACTTAATTGGAGCCTGAATTATTAAAGGGTGCTGGGCCATCCATTTCCCTGGTGCAGACTCATCTCTTGGGCAGGGGAGGGTTGCGGCAAAGTGGCCCCCAGGCCTGGAGAGGGTAATTAATAGCCCTCAAGCTCCAGTTCATCCCTGCAGCCCAGCCTGCGCCTCCTGCCCACACGAGCATCACAGAAAGTGGCTGCCGGGACTCCCTGGGGCAGGGATGGGATGGGGAGGGGCACCCCACTCTCAGCCCTGGGCCAGGGCACATGGCCGACCCCTTTCCTCCTCTGTCCTCTGCCTTCGCATCTGCAGGGCTGCCCCACGAGTTATCCGGACCTTGAGTTCAGGACACCTCAGGGGACCCGTGGGTGGGGGAGTGCAGGGGGAAGGGGGTGGAGGGGCCGGGCTGGTGCCAACAGCCTGGGTCCTTTGGCCTTTGCCACTGTCTGGGCTGCCAGCAGGACCTTGCTGGACAGGAAGCCCAAGGCTGAAGCCCGTTTGGCTCCGGTGGGACCTGAGGGTGGAGGGCAGAAGATGGGATGTACAGCCACCTGTCCTGCTCAGGGCCCAGGCCTTGGCACCAAAGCTACCCTGTCCACACCCAGGACAGCTCCGAGTGTGTCCCATGTCCTGGAAGACCAGGCTGGGCAATGGGGCATGGCAGGGGGCACGCAGGGGAGACAGAGGAGTCTTTGCACACACCCGGCTGCAGCCCCTGGATCTCAGCCCTCCCTTCACAGAGAAGGAAACTGAGGCCCAGGAAGATTAAGTGGCTTGCCCAAGGGGGCCCCAAGAAGCCTGACTTCAAATTCAGAACTCCTTCGCCTAGGCCACCCCCATGCCCACCAGGCCCGACACAGACCATGCCAAAAGTCAAAACCCACTGGGAGAGGCAGATAGGGCCCAGAGGCCAGAGGCCCGGTAGGAAGCCTCAGTCCCCTGTCTGGGGTCAAGCAAGGCCCTGAGAACTGATCCCTGAAGGCCAGCCGGGCCCACGGGCCAGATGAAGGCAATGAGTGTGGGGGTGCTGCCTGGGGCTGGGACAGGCCAGAGGCCAGCCCGGCAGGGGCGTCTATCTTTTTGCACCCCCTTCCCTTCCTTCCCTTCCAGGGGAGCAGGCCCCAGCTGTGTTCCGTACTGTGCCCCCTGCACAGCCCCCTTTCCTCCAGCACTGTGGCCCCTGGGTCAGAGCCATAAACATGGAAGCACTGGGCAAGGGCTGCAGCTGCCCCCGACGAGCCTGGGCACCCTGGCAGCTGTCTTGACCTCGGCCACCCACACTGTGACCCAGACCTCAAATGAACCAGACCCCCTCTCAGTGGACAGGAAACATGAGGCCAAAACACAGACCTGGCCCAGCTCTCTCAACAAGACTACTGGGCCGGTCCTCAAGGCACAGGCCTCTTCTGGGGGCTAAGCCCCTCCGGGAGCTTCTGGGCCTAAGAAGAGTTCATCCAAAATGATGCTGGGGGTAGGTGAACACTTTGGAGCCAGCCATGGGCAGGGAAGGGGAAAGAGGCCTTGGTTCGGGGCCAAGAGCCTTTGTGATAAGCCTGTAGCCCCCTCCAGTCCTGGCACTGCCAGGGTAACCTTGAGCTCCCCCCAACCCTGGAGGGCCTGAGTTCCCCCATCTGCAAACAACATGGAGACCACCACACTCAGGCTGCCACTGCAGCTCCGGCACCTGCACAAAAGATGCCTGCAGAGCCCGGCACCTGCACAACAGACGCCCGCAGAGCCCACCTGCACAACAGACGCCCCGCAGAACCCACCTGCACAACAGACGCCCCCCGGAGCCCACCTGCACAACAGAC